ATAATATTGGCTCTGGAAAATGCGTGGCGATCAAGGCGAAAGCTCTGATGGAAAGGGGAGTGTAGATGTACAGTAAGGGATGCAGCCACTAGCCACCAAGGTAGGAGTATTATTTTAAAAAGGAGGTGAAACTTTAATTCAATACTAAAATATTCAATTCCATAAGCATAAAGAGCAAGTCCAAAAGAGCTACTGGCAATAGCGCCAAAAGACTGGAGTGATTATAAAAGTCTTTTACCAACAAGAAAACAACTTCACAATGTAAATGAAATATTACGTTCTCGTTTTTGGTGCTGAGTTTTGAACAATCAACTCAATCTACCTATAGGTAATCAATAAATGAGAGTGAGTAAGAGCAGCCACGAAGTAAATACTCATTAACCACTTCTTACTTTCCTTACTGGGGAATTTTAGCGCTTTTATTGGACGACTGATGAATCAGTGAGAGGAGTATTATACTGGATTATCAAGGTTACATTAGATATTGCTTCAGATATTGCTTCCAGTCAATATTGGCAGCAAATGTGATGCTACCCAGAAATCAAACAAAAATGATTTCAGACACTTTGAGTTCGGCCAAATGTTCATGCAGAAATGAAACCTGCTGTGACTGTTGCATAAAACACAGAGAATCTACTTACATATCAACTTGCTACAGCAACAGCTCCAGGGATTTTAAGAGACTATGTCTTTACAAAAACCAAAATAACAGCAAGAAAAAATCTTCCCAAACTTTATACAAATGAACATAAAAAGCCTAACTAACTAACCACTTAAGTGAGAATAAGAACAGGAGACACAACCCCAGAAAACACTGGCAAAACACACACACACACACACTGTCAGCCATCCTCTGAATCAAAGCCCTATCTCCCATATGGTTCATTAATCCAAACTCACCATTATGTAACTGTACTAAATGCTCACAAGAGTGGAAGGGTACAACTACTCTCCGTACATCTTGTGCATGTGCATGTGGCATCTTTCTGTGTGCGCAAGTAAGAAACCGTATGACAGAGACAGAAATCTGGTTACATGAATGGTTTGTAAAGTTGCTCCTGGGCTGTATGCTGTGTGGGGCGTGTGAGAGCAACACAGACACCTTCTGTCTGGAGGATGTGAGTCAAAATTTATTACATGCAGTGTTTGTGTGCATTCCAAGTTGCCGTGCTGCAGCAGACACACAGGTCTGACCATCAGTTCGTTCCACACGCTGCACTTACGCACAGACTTTATACTTAGCAGCGAATCCTTGCGTGCAGAATCCAAACTCACACACACGGTGTTGATGTGCACATTTAAAAGTGACTTCATTATTGCAAACACATTTGCTGTCCCCTTAAAAACAAATAAGACTGCATGCATAGTGTCATAACTTGACAAATGTGACCTGAACTTAAAGTGCTAACACACCACCTCTGTGTGGATTTATGCATGTTTCTATTTGGCAAAAAAAAAGTGGCCCTCTTGCTTCTGTTTCGCTCTGTGAGCTGAGGTGTCGGATTGGCATGTGCAGAAAAAGCAGCAGCAGCTCGGGCAGTGACAAGATTAAGACCTACTTCATACCTTTTCTTCTCAAAGCAACCACACAGCCCTGCCAACAAGACCTAGCTAACAAACTAACACAGCCCACAGTGGCACATGAAATGCATCAGTGAACAGAGCCATTCTAGCTGTGGCTCTAGGGACAGTGTGTACATACTGTCAGCAGCCGCTTGCAATGTGGGAATTTCAAAGAACATATGGCAGCTTGTCGCTGGGTAAAAGCTCATGTCAGAATCTAAACAAGCTAAAAGCTGTACCTAGAAAAGCCATTAACTGCCTGTTATCTGCCATTCACAAAAACACACATTCCCAGGCATGCACAGTACACACAGACCCTGAGTAATATGGCTGGAATGTGATCATGACAAGCTGGCGATAACTCAAATGGGGTCATTCGCAAAGAAAAGTGGAGACACACGTGTACTTGGGTGTTGCGGGAAAGGAATGGGGTGAGGGCTACCTCGATGCATTAGTGGAGCCAACAGCAGCATTAAAGCTCCTCACTGTCCAATTATTTACAGCTCCACACTCTGTGGCTCAGTCGAGGTCAAAAACACCTTGGCTGTCTAAATGTGATCAGCGGGATATGCTGCGATCACTACATGGTGTGGACCAGAGCAAGAGGAAATCTGGAGAGGAACAAAACGCAGCAAAAATGAGTAAAGCGTGGATTACACCTATAGACTGTGCATAAGTGATAAGCGTATCTGAAGCGTATCTGAAAAGAAAATTACCCTCCTTCTCATCTGATTTAATACAGTGAAAAACAATTTCCCTAATGGACTTACGGCTTCAATCATTGTTTTTCAGTTTTATTCATAACAGCATAATACTCATTTTGTAAGTTATGGGCCCTTTTAGGTTAAAAAAGAATGATAAAGCAGATGATAAAGCAATAATAAAACATTAGGAATTTTTCTAGGGTCAGCGAAAGAAAGAGGAGAATCAGAAACTGTATTTCTAAGTTTAGTGCTAGTGTGTTCATATTTACACACAAAATAATAAAACCCAGAGACAAGGAAGTGTGTTTCACCAAAGAACTGATATTCACATACCATCTTCTCAAAGTTATTAACCTCAGACCTACAGTGTCTTGCTCAGTGGCCTCTTGGGAGGATGAATATTTTCAAGATTCATTTTCACCAAATAGATTTAACAGAATCCTTACTCACTACACCATGTCATGACTAACTTCTCACTGCCTCACATCTTGCTGCTTATTTATACTTGCAAATATCTTTAAATATCTACATATCTAAAAAGCCTGTTGGAAATTACTTGCAATGATTTATTGCCTGTCTGACCTTTCACCACTCCATGTACACCCAAACACAGCACAGCAGAAAGAGAGAGCACTGTTCATGGCTGCTTCCTCAGTTGCATGACCCATCTATGCACCCTCCCTCCCTCCTTTGCTAACATCCCATCCCTCTATTCCCATGGCAACCCCACTCATCTATTCCCATGGCACCTGCCTGCTGTCCGGGAGACACACGGAGACGCGACACTGACAGATGAGGTGAGAGAGAGAGAATAGAGAGACAGAAAGAGAGACTTGACACCATTTGGCATTTTAAAAACCTGCAGGAGAGATCAGTTAAAACAGTCTTTTCACAAAGAATTGTGCAAATGTTCAGTTAAATAGCCACAACGAGACAATGCCAGGGAAAAAAAAAAATGGGAATACATAAAGACGACATGTTCAAGTATCCCATTAAAGCAAGCCCAGAGCAAGTGCATAAAACTGCAGTGAAACCTGCTAAATAATACTGTTAGCATCCAAGCATAAAAAACCACAACCTGCTGTCTCCATAAACACACTCACACATAAACATATAAAACACATAGAAGCAAACACAAAACATACAGAGAAACACGGACACTTATGATGCTGTGACACTGAAACCGGTCATTGAAGTGTGTGTGCACTGTTTACACAACATAATCATTTTACACAACATCACATTTACTAATAATCAGATTTTAATTGTGGAAGATGCAAAAAATAAAGATTTTAAGAAAACATATTCCTCTCTATATTAAAAAGAAATAATATGATGAACTCTTGGTTTTGTCCAGTATTCCTATTCCTGTACAAGTCTATAAGCATTAAATGTTTGAGTCAGGGCATGACAAATACAACTGAGCTGTGGGAGACGAACAGTAGGGCTGAGCAGAAGGGAAAAATGAGCTAGGGGCAGCCTTTGTTTGTTTGTGTGAGCATGCATATGTGTTGCTGGAAGTGCATGTCCTTGTACTTCTCTCCCGGTGAGAACCAAGTACACAATCTGATTTGGGGCTTGGGTTGAATTACATTTACAATTAGTATTTACAATCAGATTTAGAGGTGCTTTAGGAACTGAACCAACCATAAAGCATTAGAGTTTTCTCTTGACCTTGACAAAAACACTCAAGATCTACTTACCAGCTTTTTCAAGAGTTCAGTCAATGTCTGCAGCTTGCTGACATTCAAGCTCAGTAGCTGTCACTACTGTATTCATACCAGTTTTAATATCTGTATGTCATTTTGGCTTAAACGTTAAGAATAAATTAGACAATTTGCGGAAAACCTGAATATAAAAAAGTGGAAGTACTTAACCAAAGAAACCTTGAAAAGTGCTTTGAACAATGTAGGAACCATCGAAAACGTTCTTTCCAAGCGAGTTTCCCCTCTACATGCACATATTGTGAATCAAATTGTACACAATTTTTCTTCTTCTTGTGTATTTCTGTCTATGTTCACTGGCTGCTACTAACGTTCAAAAAAATCATGGACTGCAGCTACTGTGATGTCACTAAGTGGTCCTTTGAGGAACCCTCAAGATGCATTTTAAACCCAGACATGTAGTACGAAGAACAGACCAGATTTATTTAGCTGCTGTGCAACCTTATTCAAATTCCCACAGAGTCACGTGTTGCCAGACCGCAGCTAGTCACAGCAGGCCCCGTTTTACTTCCCACAGTAAGATACCTCACTCAGTTCTCAGAGAACCAGAGTTATGTTGGTTACCAAACATTTTTTATAGATTATACGAACTCAGAATTAACGTGTGCTAGAAAGCATTTGATCTTTTAAACAGAGCTGGGGTGACTGTAAAATATGTTAATTAAGCTATAGGTTGTAAAGATAGCTGCATTTTCCATGAAAAGCAATCCTGTTTCATATAACAGCTTTATAAACAGCTACTGAGCTTATCTAGTGAAAATTCTATCTGAATGATAACTCCATGAGCAACAAGAGCTAAAGCTCAGCTTTGGTAAAGTTCCTCCAAGTTTGCTTAGGATTACCGGTATTGTTCGCTCGTTTGCTTTAAGTCTGTTTTTTTCTAGATGTGTTCTCTTCACAACTGAGCTGCAAACCTTATACGGCTGATGGTTAACGTAGCATTTTAGATTCCCTGCTAGTGTAATTACATGCCGATGTGTGCCACTGGGTATACTGTATGCTTACTTACTTTGGGTGTGGGACAAGAAGCAGTAGAGAGGCGGGAAGTGGCCTGGGCACGGGGTGACTCTGAGGGCGTGGTGCTGAGAGAGGCCGCGTCCCTGGGCAACACCTGCACACCCCGCGAGATAATGGAATCTGGGATCTGAGATCACATACACCCAAACACAAACGCACATGCATATAAACACCACGTACGCACATACACACACATACCATGAACCCATAGCACAAATCCTGACATTGAAAATTCAAAAAGCTGCGCATGAATAATTCCTACAAACCTATATACATGTAACATGACCGTGAGGACAAAGTCTTTCAACATTTTTAATAAAATGCTAGAGAAAAATAGGACCTTTTAAAAAGAACATTGATTGTGGCTGTTTGGTGGAGTCTTACCAAGATCAATCTATGACTGGACAATGAGATGAGATGTTAGACTGAGAATGGAGTCATTAAGCAGGGTCCAGGCTGCAGACTGGAGGAGTATGGAGACGTACTTGATGTTACATGTGAATGCACAGAGTATACGCAAACCCACATACACAAACACAAAGGCAGACAGTCACAACACCGTGATATGTTAAAGTTATCTAAGGAGCTTCTTTACGTTGTACGTCTCATCCAAGAAGCTTCTTCAGTTCTGAGACTAAATGGTGGAGAGTCCAATTTTTAAGCACTAGTCTGAGTTGTCCCTTAAGAGGGTCGTTGACCCAGTATTGATCATGCACCTCATCAAGGTGTGAAAAAGGGTGTGGGTCATCATCAGCAGAGGTTTCGGGTGAAACCATTGTGAGACCGTGCCTCATCCAATCGTGTGACTTATTGAGATCAACTGACACAAGATGTGAGTGGGCGTTAGGGTGTCTGGGAAGGGACAGTTGGTGTTGTAATGCTGATGTTAATGCCACAGGAGGTTTAAAGATCTTTAGAAAGATCCATTCTTTCTCAAAGGCTTGTAAAGACATAGCTAGATGCTTTATTTTACACACCTGTGGCAAGGGGACTGAAAACATGTGAATTCAATGATGATGCAATATGGCCCCGTATTGTCCATATAGAGTGTCTGCAAAAACTAAATATCATGGCACTATCTTATCTGCCTGGATGAGCAGCAATTGTGCATAACTGTTTTCTATTTGAACTCTCAACTTCAAAGAAAGATTAGAAAAATATACTTTGCAATTGCTATTTACATAATTTTTATAATTACATCTCACTGGCACAGGCTTTGTTATATATTTAGTTCTTATGTTCAACAATTTACTGGTGCTGAAAGTACTACTTTAACATTATCTTCTATGAATGACGTGAACATGTAATGACGATGAAATGGATGAAATCATATCTGAGAAAAATGTCATTTTTATGGAACAACCAACCCTCCCCTCTACTCTTCTCTGTCCTGGTACCTTGGCGGCAATGGATGCGGCGGTTATGTGGGAGGAGGAGCTGTCCTCGGTGGACGCCACACCGCTGTCCTTCTTTTCCTCATCTTCCTCCTCACATTGCACGCCTTTATCCTCTGTTTGTCGGCGTGGCGAACTGTTTGGAGGTGGCGAGAGGGGCGGTGGTGGTGAAGGCAAGTCCTCCAGCTCGTCTGCTGCCTCCTTTACCTTCACCACTGCGTCCCGAAGAAGGTCGATGGCGTGCGGCAGCGCTGGAAGGATGAACTGGAAGCATTCCTGGAACAGATTAAGCACAGTTGTCCTAATGAGGGTTTAAATCATGGCACAATCTCATCTAATAGCTGCCAGCATGAAGAAAATGAAGGTTGGTTGAACACATTTGAGTGTTATGACCTGAACCTGAAGGACCTTTTCTGTCGATGAAAGAACAGATTTACAGTTGACCTCTTTCACACATATCTGTATCAGTTTTTCAAAGCGATGTTGTTTTTTCCCACTAATTCGATTAAGTTTCCTCTTCCTGTAATTTTAAATCAACATTGAAGTAGTGCTAGTTAAACGCAACATTTCCAGGTCATACAGGACTGCCAATATTCTCAAAATTACAGTGTGAACATGATGTTCTTAGGCTTGGAGGCTTTTAATGTAGAAAATACATGATAAAAATGTTAAAGATTAACTTAAATATTAACAGTGTTGGGGAGTAACGAAATACATGTAGCGGTAATACGTATTTAAAATACAAAATATGAGTAACTGTATTCCGTTACTGTTACCTTGTTGAAATAAATGTATTACACTGCGGTCTCTCCTGTTTCATATCCCCTCTCTAATTTTGGTAATTCCACGCATTGTCGGAAACCCAAACAAAACATGCAAATAAAGGCTCTGACAGGAAATCTGAGCGTGCAATGCAAACTCAATGCAACTGTTTGCCAGCAACCAAGCTGCTCTCAGTGTCAAAAGACTCCAACCTAAAGAAACATCTGGAAGTAAGTTCTTTTCTAAAAACTAATACTTACTAAAACTTCCTTGTTTTGGTTGTGGTAGGTACCTGGGTTATGTGCCACTTCAGTATCTTCGATGTACTATTGCTGTGTAATTTACTAATATTACTGAAGGCTGCATTACAACCTGTTAGCTGTAAATAATCATGTGCAGCTCTGAAAGAAAAACAGAAAGAAAACATAATACTGATAAAGACATAGTTTTCTATACGAGATCACTGCAAAAAGCGCAGCCTTACCTAATGTCCACCCTACTGTTACTCATTTTATATTAACATTTAAAGATCTAGTTGGTATTGCTTTCAGAACTGCACATGATTATTTGCAACTAGCAGTCTGCGGTCTATGAACTAACCTCAGCTAACACCAGCTAACAACGTTAGCTAGGTGGCGAGTAGCCTTCAGTCATAGTAATAAATTACACAGCAATAGTACATTCATGTAGTTGTAAAAAGTATGACAATATGTAAAGTAACCCAAAGTATTCAGAATATGTTACTCACATTAAGTAACTTAACAGAATATGTTACAAACTACATTTTGGGCCATGTATTCTGTAATCTGAATATTACAATATTGTTTAAAAGTCTCAAGCCATCCTACATTTCTTTAGTTTTTGCTTCCAAGGTGCCATACATACAAAGTGGTCTTGAGAAATAGTTCTCCAAACTTGCTGAAGGTCTCCCAATTTTTCTCTGAACATTAGTTGCTTTTTCACTCATTTCAGTCGAGTCCATGACCATTTCTTTGTGCTTTTTTTTGTTTCTTAAGCCGTTTAACACTGGCCTATGATTTATACAAGCATAAAACAACCATCTAACTCAAGAGAAGACCCAGCAATGAACCAACTTAGCAATAACCTTTTTCAAATTGTATATTTAGCCAATTATTACTGAATATATCACAGTCGGACACCAACAAGGTGATTCCCAAATAACTTTTAGTCAAAAATTGGCCCTGTTCTGTCCTTTAAAATTTGAAGAAACTGGAATCTGCATCTTAAAGCCACGGTCTTAAGAACTACGAAAAATATCCAAGAAGTGCCTGACCCAAGACCTGAGAGATGCATCTGGCCCTTCAGTTGATCCATCTACTGTTCCCTGAAGCTTCATCACAAATGGCCTCAATGGAAGCTGTCAGCCATTCTTAAGGAAGGGAAACATGGAAAAAAGGCTGAGTTATGCCAAATTACACAAGAACTGACTGAATATTAGGGGCAACAGGTCTTATGCAGTAAATAATCTAAATTTGAAAATTTAATCCATCATGTAAAAATATCTGTATAGTATTTGAATAGCAAAATCTTCATTTTCAGCATGACAATGATCCCAAACACACTGCCAACGCAGTAAAAGCATACCTGGATAAAAAAAGACGCAATGGAGCACTATTAGTCATCGACTGGCCTGACTGGAGCCCAAACCTCAACATTATTGAAGCAGTGTCAGATCATCTTGACAGAGAAAAAACCAAAAGGTAGCCAACATCCATAAAAAAAAGCTTTGGATGTCCTATAAGAAGCCTGGAAAACTAATCCTGAAAACTAATTAAAGAAATTAGAAGAACGCTTGCATAAGAGAGTTCAATATGGTCAAACCGAATATTAACTTTCAAACTCACTACAATTATACAAACTCACTTTTTGCCTGTTTGTCCATGTATGTTCATGTATCTTTTTAATAATTCCCTGCCCATAGTTCCCATTTTCCCAACAGCAAATAAATAATTGAGTGATGATTCAAGGCTTTCACTCAGTACTGAGAGTAAAAGTTTATTTAGGTAAAAGGTTGGAGCAACGTATTATCATAGTTACGACAGTCAAACATGCAGGAAGGGATGCATTGACATTCCCGCAGACAGAAGGCTCCTGGAGAAAACATGCCTTAAACATGTGAGGAAAGCATTTCCGTAATATACAGTTTGTGAGATTTTAGGGTGCAAACTACTGACCATATGACACACAGAGGTGCGACCTGTTTGAGGCACAAAGATTTCATTTGAGCAAATCACAGTTCCTCTCCCTGGCTACATGTCTATTGGCTTTTGCTCTGGTACTTCCTCTTTGCATCCATCCCAGTTTCCTTCTCCAATGTCTCCATGTATGTGTGTGTCAATGTGCCTGTGGGCTCGTCGGCTAAACGCTCCATTCTCTTCACTCCCAAGACAAGAGCTAATCTGTGAAATTATTTATCTTCCTGTGCATTTCAAGCATGGAGGAGATACATTATTAATCGCCCCCACACTTTACACTGCCCGTGAATGGGCTTTCGGGGCAACTCTTCCACTCCACTGTCTGTTTTAATGTGTACATATCGGAATCCGCATTAAATCTGACAATGCTAACCTCAGCTTGACTGAATTCAAATTTCATAAATCCAAACTGCAATTCATGCATTACTGAGACAGCATTCTCAGCACCAATGTGCATAAACATCAAAAAAGCCAGGCAGGAGGACTCAAAACAGTAGATGAAAGCCAGTCTGTCCTGTTGCGTAGCCGCAAGCTAACCTTTACACCCTACATCCCCATCTCTCTCGCGCATTTTCTTCCAAAACCCCTCAGCAAAATGAAGGCTGTTTATGCCTCTCGCTGCTGAGTTTGAAGCCTACATCTGAGCATGTCTGGAGGATGCAGAGAGAAGGGCTGGGTAGGCTTGAGATGTACAGAGGATGGACTCCACTAAAGAATGAGTGAGGATTGTGTCAAGAGCCTGGATATATTCATCCTTTACAGTTTTGCACATTTAATACGTGCTGGGAATTTTTTCTTTCTTTTTTTGTTTAGCTACATTAGGAGTGTTTTTTTCTGCTCTTATTCTCTGTTTTGTCCTGGAGGAGAGTAACTGTCAAGAACACTAAAGAGCAGAATCCCTACCAACAGATCAGAAACACGAGCAGGAGAGAGAAAGAGGCATGGAGGAAGAGGGGAAGGCATTGCTGTTCTGAGAAAGGGTGAGAAAGAATGACAGGAAGATAGAAGCAGAGAGAAAAGTAGTGAGTGAGATGAGAGTGGATGAGATCTCAAGAGATAAAGAGTTTTGGGGTAGAGGAGAGAGAGAGAGAGAGATTCAGAGAGATCTTAAAGATCTCATGGACTATTATCTTGATGTTATCTTCGTTATCGGTAAGTGCCAGCACTGAATTAAATTAAACAGAAATAAATACGTAAATGAGACGTAATGAACAGAGGCTAAAAGGGCAACAGGACAGAACCTAAACACAACTGTGGTCAAAGTTCTCCAAAGCAGTAGAAAAAATGTACTCTAACTTTTGATTCATGTCCTGAAAATAGGCTGAAAATCTCACTCCATGTGTATCTTGTAATTTTATTCTTTTAGTCTGGAAACTTGCGGGCACTTTTTTGCTACCGCTTCTCTTTCACAAAACCTAAAAGGAAAGCTGTCCATAGCCTCACACATGCAAACAAACCAAATGGCCTATTTTTTTCTGCTTTAACACTGAGTTGGACTTGCAGACTTTGAATTATGTAAAATTATGTCTACTTAACAAGAAATGGATGCTTGAACAGCTTGCCTTGCAAAAGTCTTAATTTTCCCAAATCTTTTTGAAAAAACCTCTTCAGAAATTAGACAATTAAGCCCCTGTAAGTAAATATTATAATGCCTATAAATGATTAATATTTATTATAAAACTTGGTGATGGTGGCCAGGAAGAACCCCGTTTTTATAAAGGAAGAACCGTTCAGAAGACAGGACTGAATGGAGAGCCATCTATCAAGTCTGGTTGATGAATGAAAGGAAGAAAAGTGAAAAAAGAAGTGCATGGATAGTCAAAGACAAAACATAAACTATGGGAGCCAGTGGTGGCTTGCAAATGCATAATGGTGGAAACTTGTGGAGGTGAGAAAAAAAAAATCTTAATGTATAATGTATGAGCAGCCTGAGCCTATAGCAACATAAGTAAGGGACGATACAGGGCCACCTAATCCAGCTCCATCTCTAAAATCTGTTAAAAAATTAAAGTTTAAAGCATAATCTAAAAAGTAGAGAGATTATCTGCCTCTTGAACCACAACTGGGAGCTGTTTCCACAGGTGAGGGGACTGATAGCTGAAAGTTCAACATCCATGCAACATTTTTCACTTCTCTTTCGCTTCATCACTCAACCAGACTTGATACATAGCGCCCCATCTGGTCTGCTCTGCCGAAGGGTCTTCCTTTTAAAAGGAAATTCTTCCTTCCCACCATAGCTAAGTAATTACATTGTTCAACAATGTAATTACTTCTGTACAGTACAGTGGATACACCCAG